CCTTAGATGTTTCTCTGATTGACACCAATAAGTTGACCCTCCTGAAACAGAGGAACATATTTTCTATGACCACAGGATGTGTCCTTCAACATGGTTGTTTAACAAATAAGAAGCTGCTCACTGGTGAGTTAGGGTTAAAAACTTGTCAGCTGAAACATAATCACTCATAAGTAATTACCAATGAGAGGCTCTCACTATTTGCTTAGTTAAATCCAGGTGGTGAGCTTTTTTTTTTGGCCCGGCAGTGTGTTTACAAAATGAACCAATGACACACCCCATAGCTATGTTACAACAAGTGAGATATGATCTCCCTCCTCAGGCCAATACATGTGATGAAACAGTTCAGCTATAATGTACAGTTTGTACAGACAACATCCTGGGTGTCTCAACAAACATGCTGCGGTGCAACATAAATTTCTGAAACACAGGCCCATTTCTGTACGAGTGTTGATGTGAGACCAGGGGCCTCATGTACAAAGACTTGTGTGGACTTCTTACTGAAACATGGCGTACGGTCAAATCCAGAAAACTGCGTACGCACAAAAAAATCCAGATGTATCAAACCGTACGTACGCCTGAATCCACGCACATTTGTTTTGTACATCACAATTAATGTGGAACTGAGCGCAGGTAAGACACCTCCCCTGACACTCCTTCATTTACATATGTTAAACAGATGCAAATTACTTCCTGCATGTGTGAAGGACATGTTTGAGTGATCCCTGCGCGATCAGAAATGATTTCTAGAGTCTGGAAAATAATGAATTAAATATAATGTGAGTGAGAAAAAAATCCTAAGTAAGAATAGGAATAAAATATGTTTATCACACAAAGAACAAGTGATTGTGTGTCGGTGTGTGTGCGTGCATGCTGCTGTGGTGCGCAATCGGCTCATCCATCCATTGAGTAAAAATATTAACTTTGCGCAGGATTATTACCGTAATTACTGTAAACACAGAGGAACTTAGATGTTTGGTAGAACATAGATCTTTGTTTATTTCATAGCTGATATGAATAAAGGTGTCTCTGCACCTCAGAGGAGAGTTTTCTTAACATGACGTGACGTGATGTTAGTGAGTCTCCACAAACGCTGCGCGCACCGCAGCCTTTGTGCGCAGTCTGTTTGTCTTTCAAGCTTTTACTCTCCTACTTAGAGCATTTTCACAAGTAGTAAAATGTCCTTTTGGAGAAATCTATAACAAAGTAAATGCCAAGTATGAAACACCTCCACTGCTGGCGAGGGTGCGCGCGCTCCAAAGCGCGACCATAACTCAGCCTTTAGAATCATATGGATGAGACCATTCCATTGGGCAGGATTCTGCTTTGGGTGGACTGGACCGGCACAGTCCCGATCAGTCTGCCAGCTGTCTCTGGAAAACATCTGTGGAACCCCAGTTTGATCGCTGCTGCTGCACGGGCGGCGCACGGCTCCTCGCTGTGTTGCGCTGCAGTGCCAAACTGAAAAATCATTATTCCTGAGAATGTGGCTGATGAGCCACTCGTCATCGTGGATCACAAAATTCTGTTTTTAAACTAGATACCGCATAGCAGTAACATAATGACCCCCGCACACACAAATGCACCAGAACTCAGAAGTCCTTATTCCTATTAAAAGCCATGCTACTAGGTGCATCCCAAAATTGTAGTGGTTTGGGTGGGAGTCTTTGGGTGGGATTGGACCTGATGGATAGACCCTCATCAGAGCTAAACACAAAATAAATCTGAAGCTCCTATGTTGAACAGTTTCTGAGTTATAAGCGATTTTGCATGTCCTGACACCCCCACTTTGAAAGGAGCCCCCTCCTCAAATATGGGGTCTATCGTAAAACCGTTGGCTGGTGCAGTGTAGGTCAGACTCATCTACAATCCTGCCAAGTTTCATGTTGATAGGTGCAGCCGTTTTTGTGGTACGGGTGACCAAAGATCACTGAAAAAAAAGAAAAAATAAATAAACAGTACGAAAACAATATGACTCCAGCTTACGCTTCGCGTGCGAAGGTCATAATAAAAGCTCTGCGTGTTACATTATTTATTATATCGTCCAGTAAGGCTGAATCTGTTCCTGTTAAATGTATTTTTGGCACAACTTTGCACATCTTTTATCTAACTGCATCCATGTAGATGTAATAATTGTTAACCATGTGTGTCTGGTGTGAACTGTAATAATTTTCACATCATGAACAGTTTCTCAGAATAACCTCTAAGTGTCTCTCATGGAACCAGAACCACAGAAACGTGCGTACCCCAGCCCTGGAGTTGGCGTGGGGCTGCGCACATTTCCACGTTCATTTTAGTTTTGATACATCCGGAGTTTTGCGTGGAAAATGGCGTACGCAAGGTTTTTGTGCGTACGCACAGTTGATACATGAGGCCCCTGGTGAACTTTACTGCGTTTGAATGATTTCCGCTCACAGGTTGTCTCAACGATTCATTGTAAACGTGCAACAAACCAAAGTAATAAAACCAGATGGAGCACTGTGCAACCAGTGGTCCTGGAAAAAAAGTGTCAACTTTCAAAGTAAAAACAAGAAATTGAAATTAATTTGATCTAAACTCAAAAACAGTTGTAAATAAAGAAACACGCTTTCTCAAAGGTTATTTTTTAACATGAAAGATACTTTGAAAAATGTGAGTTTGAAAAGTTTTTGATCATCTTTTAATGCCAACAAGATCCTCAACTAATAAATCAACATAAATTTTCCCACTTTACGAATGATATTTTTAGGTAAAATAGACTCCGCTGCATTGTAGTTTAAATGCCACTAAAGAATACCCGACAACCCAGTTAGTAGGTATTCCAGTGTAATCTATCAGTAACTTGACTTCCTTCTTTTAAATCTGAGCTGTCAAATATAAAATTTCAGTCATCAAATTCTGCTTTTAAAGATATGATTCGTGTCAAATGTCTTACAACTTACCATCATTTATTGAAGGGCTTTTGGACAGAAGAACCAAAGTGGAAAAAGAGTGCTGACAAGGCAGAGATGACCTCTGAGTCAGGTTAAACAAAACACTCGAGCACCTGTGAATCTGTAAGAGATAATCATCCAAGAAAAAGTAGAAAACAAAAAGGTAAAAGTAATACATGCAGAGTGTAAATACATCATTTCCTTTACAGCTGTATGTATCAAAAATAAATTAGATTTTGTATCACAGCCTTTATAAACACCTTGAATTTGGCATCTGTTTCTTTTTAGAACCTCCTACCATTTAGACACTCCCACTTCAGCACATCTTCACAACAATGCTTCAGGGGAGGGATGCTCTGTGGAGCTCCACGTGGCCACAGGAGATCCAAGGATTTCTCAAACATGCATGAATGAGTCAACGCAACACTCTGGGTATGATTTTGATGAGGGACTGACAATATAACATGATATAAAGCACAGAAAAGTAGAACCATAGAAACAAAAACAATGGCTTCTCAAAGCCATTATTTAAACTAAAAATAATATGTAAAATCTGAATAAACTTTTATTGTTGTGGGTCAATTAGGATTAACAAAAACATTTCTATTTGCTAAATGCCAGAATAATGAGAGGTTTTTAAGGCAACTTTTGCTACTTTCTTTAAAGTCAAAAGTTTAAATCCACAAAGATTACGATGCATTTAAACTATTTGGGTTCTAGTTAAACTACTGAATAAAAGTGAACTATAAAGATTGGCAGTATTTTCAAATGTTAAAATTTTTTACTAGGGCATAAAAGTATTTGTTTAACCTGTGTGAAATATGGTGCTAATAGCTGCTTTTATATTTTCTTGTATTTTCTCTTCACCTTTTCTCCCTTTGTCATTGCTTAATAATTTCAGAGACCACCAGGTGGCGCCATTGTGCCAAAGTTAAATTAGTCTTTTCAAGATTTTAATTTGATCTCATCCTCCTGTAACTAGAGTTGTTCAAGTTTACCCTAACAGTTGCATCTTTGTTACAATAATAAAATGAACATTAAAATTAAAACAAATAATCATTTGAAAGTAAAAGCACACTCAGTTTTATGGCCACAGTACTTTTAATGTAATAAACTGGGAAATTTACCAGTACTGTTTTTCAAGTTTTTAACTCCCCAACAGTGGTTGTACCTTTTCAAATACAATGTGCTGCAGTTAATTTAAAAAAGTGCATAAAGCAAGGAAAATCTGCGTTACAACCCCCCCCCCCCCCCAAAAAAAAACATTTTGACTTACAAAGGTCAGTCTATGAAGGAAAGTTGCTTTTACTTTAACGCCAGTGTCTTTTGAGTTTATAAGCAGGATTTATTTTAGTTTTATCATGTTGAACTTGAAAGAGTAATAAAGCCACTTGGAGAAAATAAATTCTGACATTTTTTTTGACATTTTATTCTCAGAATTCTGTGATTAAAGTCAGAATTCTTTGTTTTTCCAGGGGTCCTAATCCTCTTTATATGAACTTCAACTGTTATTTAAATGACTAATTAATAATATTAATTAATAATTATTAATAATTCAATGAATAACAAATTTTTTTTTTTTTAGAAATTTTTGAAGCATCTCTATACATAGTCTGTTTTAAATGCTATACTGCCTCTCAGACCTTATAAAAAACACAATAAATACAAAGACTGAGTGGTTTAGAAACCTTTATATATTTATTTATTTATAAGGAAATAAACAAAAAGTGGTTTTCCACTGGAACATGTCTGTGGTAATGAATGCCATGTATCAGGGACAGTTTGATATTATTTTTACTCTCTCCGTACCATGTGAGGCGATATTATTTGCTCTACAAATATAAACCAAACACATTAAATCAAACACATTAAATCAAACACATTAAATCACTACATCAGTGTGGTTTGCATTATGAATATGCATAATGCAGAGATTGTAATGTGGGACATTTCTGAAAAAAATTGCAGTAGATCACACACACACACACACACACACACACACACACACACACACACACACACACACACACACACACACACA